CACAGAGCACTGGGGGAAGGTAGCTGATGTCTTACGTGGCTCTCCTGGGTCTGTCTGCAGTCCCCGTGGTCACAAACAAGCCACCTTCTGTGATTTAGTGAAGTGCTGGGCATTTGATTAATCGTTAATAAGCAGGGCACAACCGGGCAACTGTGGAGGAAGCAGGGGATGCTGGTGGCCACAGCTGGGGGGCTTCTCATGGAGTCCTGGGCTCTCTGCCTCTCCCGGGCAAAGCTCACGGGTTCTGTGTTTCTTCGTGGTGTGCGGACACTCCCGCTTTCCTCCCTGCGCCTCTTCCGGGTTCTCTGCCTCCAAGTCATCTTGCCTTCCCACCATTCAGGACTTTTTGTTCTGCAGCACAATCGCTTTGAATGCAAGGGAATCAGAGACAGATGGCAACTTCTGCAAGTTTCTACCCAGGGTTGGCAAAGAAACCCTCTCCCTACCCTCTCAATCTCCTACTTCCCTCAACTAAGATTACCAGAAAGGTTGCAAGCCCCATAATATTCTACATCTGCTAACATCAGGAAGCTTGCGTGAAGGGAGCTGCAGAGGGCCTGTTGCTTAGTCTGCTGAGGCCTAACTCTCCTTGCTGCCTCAGAGAGCTCGACTGGGCCACAGCAGGGGGCAGAGGCCCTGCCTGCAGCTGCTTTTCTCTTTGATGGGTAGGACGATGACCATGCAGTCCCTGCCTGCTGGGCCTCTGATTGTGTAACTAACCAATGGCAAAGGGGGCCCTTGGTGAAATCTTGTGCCCAGGACCCCTTATTTCAAGTCACATCGTTGCTCCCTGGAGCAAACACTGGCGAGCAGGCAGTCCAACACCTGCTTCAGCTTCACAGACTTGTCGGAGCTGGACAATTGTTGGATCAGAGGACTCAAACCTCAGAACCATTTCCATGGCTGCAGGATAATGTTAAGAAGGGTGCTGAGGCCTCATCTTGTCTTGGCAGGAAAAAGTGTTGTTTGGGGAGAATGAGGCAAAGAGGTGTGTGGGTTTTGAGGTACATAGAAAAGGGAGCTGTGAAGATTTGTCACTGGCACAGAAGACAGGGTGGGGGAATGGCACGCATTCCCATGTTTCCCGCTGCTGACCTCGGTCAACCCCTTTCTTTTATCAAAAAAACAAATGAAAAGAATGGAATAGCACAGGGAACTATATTCAGTATCCTGTAATAATCTATAGTGAAAAAGAATATGAAAAAGAATATGTATATATAACTGAATCACTTTGCTGTATACCAGAAACTAACACAACATTGTAAATCAACTATACTTCAATAACCCCCCCCAAACAAAACAAAACAACAACAAAAAAAACTGAAAAGAATGGAGACTGGAGTGATGTCCTCATTCTAACAATGGGTGGCGTGGGTGGGACTACAAGCCAGGCCAGTGCTCTTGCAGGTGGTCCCCAATGACACACCTTGAGCCACAGATTAGCCTCATGTTATCTTTGCTTTTCCTTCTCTAAAATGAAGACCCTTCCCACGCCATCCAGGGTGGGAAAGACCTGGAATCACACCAGCGTGCTTGCAGGAGCTGCTAGGAGAGGGCCGGATGATAAGAACTTCCTCCCAGACACTCTGCACGTTGGAAAGCCCTGGCCTACGGTGCAATCCCTCAGAGGTGTGCTGCCAAGTTTCACCCTCAGAGGAAAGAATGAGGAAAAGAGGGTAGAAGGGCTGGGCCCCAAACCCGGCCACGTCATGTGAAGTCAAGAGGGAAGGTAATGTAACGGTGTCACAGGATGTGAAATCCAGCTTGAGTCTGAATCCTGCGACTTCAGGCTCGTCCCTTCTGAGCCTGTTGCCACAGATTCCTCCCTCAAAGATCACATATGAGGGCGCCCAACAAATATTCCTTAGTCAGACACACCACATTTTCTCTTCCCTCTGGGCTTCTGCCCATGCAGGTTCTTCTACTTTCCCTCCTTGTATATGGCTCACCTGATCTTCTGGGGGACTCAACTTAGATCTCATGTCTTCAGAGAAAGCATTCTGACCACCCCGAGGGGGTAGGGTCGGGTGCTCATCTTCTGGGTGTCCACAGACTCTAAACATAGATATCATAGCACTTACCCCCTGGATCATCTCCTGGACTAGAATGTGAGCTCCTTGAGGGAAAAGGCCACAGATTATCAATCTCTGCACCTTCAGCACCTAGTGCTCAGTAGGCCCTTGAAGAATAAATGCTGGTTCACATGGTAGGTGCACAATGAGTTCTGTCCTCTCCTCCATTCATGACCACAGAAAATAGCTCCAGGAGACAAACAAGCAAACAAATCCCAGTTCTTAGGGTGCCAAACCAGAATGCTAAATTTTTTTTCAAAGGACTGTAATTCTGGTTTAAAAACCAAGTCATTTGCACAGAGTTTTGGTTTTAAACACTGACATCAACCGTAAAAAAGAAGAAATCCCCTGAGAGTAAACAGTGCCCTACAGTGAGAACTCACCACCTATACAACCTGGGTCCCCACCACATGCTCCCCCAAATTCCATCTGGCTAAGACAGAAAGGGTATTTGTCCAAAGGTTTCACAGCTTCATTTCATTCTGTGCTAGCAGCAGGCAGGTGAGAAAGCCATGATGACTAGGATGCTGTTTTATGAAAGTGTCAGGATCCTGAAAAGGGGACGAGACAGAGGATAGCACTCCTACCATCTTCCCTGGGGGTGGGGAGGGGGCTGTGCTTCCTATGAAGAGCAGAGACTTGGGGTCAGCTGAATGACCTAGAATTTCCCCTTCTCTTCTGACCTACCTTCTTCCCAGTATTATACTCCATCTCATGCTCAAAAAACATTTGCGATGACTGTCATTGTTTCTTCAGGCCTATGTCTATATCATGGACCTTTAGTAATGAAGGAACATCCTAGTTGTATGATCTTGGGCGAGTGACTTTCAAGTGTCTTGAGCCTCAGTTCTCTTATCTGTAAAATGGTGATAGCAATGAGCAAACTGGGTTACTGTGATTTTTATTTATTTATTTTTAAATTTTAATTAAAAAAATAAATTTATTTATTCTATTTATTTATTTTTGGCTGCGCTGGGTCTTCGTTGCTGCGCGCGGGCTTTCTCTAGTTGCGGTGAGTGGGGGCTACTCTTCGTTGTGGTGCGCGGGCTTCTCTTGTTGCGGAGCACAGGCTCTAGGTGCATGGGCTTCCGTAGTTGTGGCTCACGGGCTCAGTAGTTGTGGCACACGGGCTTAGTTGCTCTGTGGCATGTGGGATCTTCCCGGATCAGGGCTTGAACCCGTGTCCTCTGCATTGGCAGGCGGATTCTTAACCACTGCACTACCAGGGAAGCCCCTACTGTGATTCTTAAAATCCATAATATACGTGGAGAACTTAGCCCAATGCCTGCCTCATGGTAGGTACACAATAAATGAGAGCTGTTTTTACTACAAGATCCAGAGAACATCAAGTTCTAAAATGGGACTTCCAGGAACAAAAGGAAAGAGGACATTGGAGTTTCTTGGAATTATGTCATAGAGAATCCAGAACTCTGCATGAGGACTGATGGTCATGGGGACCTCTGAAAGTTCTGGAATGTTTGTAATTCTCCCATCTTTGTAATTTTCTCCTGCAGTCTTGCTTCATTTAGGTCAGCAGTTCAATTCTTTACATGAAAAAGGCCCAACTGCTTATTTAGGGGATTCATTTTGGGCATAAAAGAAAGAAACTCTAAGAGACCAAAGGAAAAGGCCTTAGTAGAGAACAGCTGGAATGTTTGGGGCCAAGTGGAATGAAGAGAGGGACATTCAGAATGTTGACACAAGAACAGGAGGTCCCTGGAGGCCTCATTCTGAGGAGTTCTGCAACCTCTCAGATCTGAGCAGACTCTTTCTCCTTCCCTCCCTGCTGTTCCCAGAGCTCCGCCCACAGTGCAAGTATCGCAAACCACAGCAGGTCGGGGAATACTCTGCTCTGCTCGGACTCTGCTCAGACACCATGACCCCACCTGGTGTAACCTGACACATCCAGTCACCAGGATGTTTAAAGGACACCTGATTCTTTCTGTGACAGCGTGGTTACCCTAAACCACCTAAGACATGACTACAAAGAAGAGAATCCCAGCCTCTGGCCTCAGTCCACACACGATCAAGTCAGGTCACCTGAATCTGGGTCAGGAGGGAAAGCTGCCCTGCAGGGGCAGAGAGAATTACTGCGTGCCTGACAATCCGTATCCATAGGGCAATGGTTTTCAACCCTGGCCTAGGCATCAGAGTCACTTGGAGAGCTTTAAAAACTCAGATGTTTAGGGCTGTTCTAGACCTGCTACGTACCTCGGGAGTGGCACCTGGGAATACATAGTTTCCATAAGTGCCACAGGTGACTGAGATGTGAGGCCAAGCTTGAATACAATGCTTCGTGGAAGTATCACGTCTTGAACTTCCTGGAAATTATCAGGGTCCCACACAAGGAGACAAGCTGTCTTTCTTCCCTAAGTGGCATCTGCAACCAGACCGGTCTGTTCTAGCTTCCCTGACTCTCCAAGGGGAGGGAATCAATCAGGAGGCAGCTGCACTCAGCTGCCTAACCTTCCCAGGCCTTTTCTCAGGGTCCCTGCACATTGGAGACGCCTTCCTCATCACCACAGAACTCAATAAAAGGTGTACTTATTACAGAAATTAGATTCAGATTCAACAAACGTTTTTGCAGCTCCTATTTTGTGGCAGGTCCTGCACCAGACGCATAAATGACAAGCCTGTGAGAGAGGCACTACATCGTTCCTGTTTGGGGTGCACTCTTGGAAAAAGAGTGTTCATCAGAATGTTACCAACTCATTACAGCAATCCTCAGGGAGTTGTCTTCCCAACATGGTGATTTATTGCCTATGATCAACATACAAATTGGGGTTTATTGACTGACGTGTCTTCTCAACATTCTTTTCAATTGCTCTAATGGTGGATGTGGCTAGGCTGAGTGCATGACTGTGAAATTATCTGAGGCTTAACCCCTCTGGCTGTCAAAACACCTAGCTTGTATTTTTTTTTTTAAGTAAAAATATGGAACACTTCACAAATTTGCATGTCATCCTTGTGCAGGGACCATGCTAATCTCTGTATCGTTCCAATTTTAGTACATGTGCTGCTGAAGCCAGCACTCTAGCCTGTATTTTTTAAAAAAAATAAATTTATTTATTTATGGCTGTGTTGGGTCTTCTTTGCTGTGTGCGGGCTCCTCATTGTGGTGGCTTCTCTTGTTGTAGAGCACGGACTTCAGTAGTTGTGGCACGCGGGCTCAGTAGTTGTGGTGCACAGGCTCTAGAGCGCAGGCTCAGTAGTTGTGGCACATGGGCTTAGTTGCTCCGCGGCATGCGGGATCTTCCCGGACCAGGGCTCAAACCCGTGTCCCCTGCATTGGCAGGCGGATTCTTAACCACTGCGCCACCAGGGAAGCCCTCTAGCCTGTATTTTAATCATGAAAATAACTCCTTGTTGGCCTGACCTTTGGAAAACAATCAAACCATTTGCTAGGAATCAAAGAGTTGGAAATAAGGGGCTGCAAGAGAGTATGCAGGTGCTTTCTGGCGAAGAGCATTCCTTTTATTACAGCTGATTAGCACTATGAGCTATGGCTACATTGTCTCCATTTTTAAATGTGATGAAACCGAGGCTTAGAGAATCTCAGTAACTTGCCAAACACACACAGCTAGGACAGGGAGGCAAGGATTTGACCCCAGGTCTTCTGATTCCAGACCCATGCTTTTGCCCTAGCGCCACTAGTGACCCTACTAGCTCTTTTGAATGACTATAATCGCTTATGTGCAGATTTATAATCGTTGAAAATTCACATACTGTTTTTATGAGCCACATGTGAAAATCATGGGTTAAGATCCAACAGAATTTTAGGACATAATCATAAAAGTAACAAGGGCTGAGTGACTTGTCCAAGATCAAACAGCTACTAAGAGGCTGAGCCTGTATTTGACCTTAGGTCTGTATGGCTCCAAAACAGGATCTCTTTTTAACTAAAGGTACATGCGCAGTGGAGAGGAAATCACACGAGACAGGACTCAGAAGCCATGGATCTCTGTCTCTGTTCCAATCTTTATTAGCTATATCACTTTGGACAAGTCCCCTGCCTTCTGTAAAACGGAAACAATGTTCTCTGACCTACTTTCTGAGATGTGAAGATCCAAATGGACGAAAAAGTTCTGAAAATTCCTTCCATAATATAATAGAGCGTAGGAACTCACGTAGGCCAGTCAAACAGACCGGGGTTCAAAAATTCCGACTCTGCCACTTACTGGCTTGTGTGACCTTGGACAAGTGATTTTACTTCCCATGCTTCCATTTTCTCATCTGCAAAACGGGGCTAAATCAAGTACCTCCTCCAAAAGGTTGTTGTGACGATTAAATGAGAGCATCCATTTACACAGGGCTTGCCCGACACACAGTACAGGATCAATGAACGTCAGCCATTACTACAATTATAACTGTGCCTCTCGGGTTTTCAACTTTCAAGCAACGACTTTCTGAGCTACCACACACGCCCTGGGCTACAGTTTCGGTCCTATTCGCTGCCTTCCTCCTCGGGACTTGTCCCTCCCTTTCCAGTCCCCATTTTCCACAGCCCATCTTAAAACCCTCCAGGAACCCGAGCTCCCTTGCCCCATTTCGGCGCGGTGTCTTACTCGACGACCTTGGCTGGGTCCCCGTGGTGCCCATAGACCAGCGCCCGGACCCGGGAGGGCTCGGCAGATGCGGAGAAGGCGGCGGCAGCAGGCCGCCGGCGGCGGAACGCGGGGAATAGCCGCCGCCGCAGCTGAGCCGGGGTTCGCGCCCAGCAGAGCGCCCCACAGACCCACATGCTCCCTCCGGTTAACTCAGAGCCGGACGCTGTGAGATACGTCATCTTCCAGCGACCTCGCGTCTGCGCCCCGCCCAGTCGCGTGACCACGCCCTTTGCTCCTTTTAGAAGGCCGTCCCCTTCCTCCGCGGTCCGCGCGGTGGCGCTTGGTGAGACTGACTGGGGAGCGAGGCCTGGTCGGTGGAGGGACTGGTCGGTGGAGGGACTCAAGGGAGTCTCGGAGATTCTGAGCCTGCCAGAGTTGAACTCCTAACAAGGAGCGTCTGATACTGGCCTAAGGCTGTGTCTATGGTCTGCGATTGGTGTTTGACTTGGGGGGGAAGACATTTCACCTTCTCTGGCCTCAGTTTCTCCTCCTCCCCACCATTTGAGCGTTCACTCTGCCAGGCCCTTTAAGGCATTATCTCATTTAATCCCCGCTGTCTTCTGCTAGCATAGGGTGGCAAAGCTTACTTCCCTACACCAAGTAGAGTAGATGTATGTAAGCTGATATAGAGGCAAGAGTACTGGGTTTGGAGTTAGAAGATTTAGGTTCATATCCTAGACCCTCCACTTCTTACCTTGGCCATCTCAGGCAAGTGACTGAAACTGAGTCAGTTTTCTCATCGGGGCTAATATACTTCTTTCAAGATTGTTGTAAGAATTGGATAGAACAACAGAATAATGTTGTCATGGACCGGATAGCACATTGTAAAATGCCAAGCGTGCTCAGATTACAAGGGAGGAATCATAAGAAGGAGAGCCCCCTCTCAGAATGCTCAGGGTGCAGTAGGATTGAATGGGACAATGGGTAAAAAGGTGTAGCCCAAGAAAGATGCTAGATCATATTATTAGTGGAAGGAAGACATGAGCGTAACTAACACCCCAGTTGAATATTAGGACATGACAGAGGGCACTGCTGGAGTCTGAAGGAGAGAGGTGTTTTGGGATTGGGGTGGGGGTGGGCACCCTTGGAGGGAGTGCTGTTGGAGCTGGTCCTGTGACTCAAAATCTTCAATATGCATGAAACTCACCTGAGGTCTCATCTCAGACCTACTGAGTTAGAATCTTGGGGAAGGGTCCAGGAATCTACATTTCTTAGAAGCTCTCAAGAATATTCTGATGGAGGTGGCCTGGGGAACAAACTTGAGAAACACTGAATCAGGACTTCAAAGGATAAGGAAGAATTCCTTTCATTGGATTTTATTGACCCCAAACTTGCCAACTTAGAGCCTTTCCTCTGAGGAAGAAAAGAAAATGTCATGATGAAGAGTGCACGTGCTGCATTCTAGCCAACTTGGCTTTGAGTCCTGGCTCTGCCACTGGACTTGGACAAGTCCATTTGATCTTGGACAAGTCACCTGGCCTCTCTGTGTTTCCACTTCCTTACTTGTAAAAGGAAGGAAATAATAGTATCTGATTCAAGGCTGTTGTGAGATATTATTCACTTGAAGCATTTAGCACAATGTTTGGCACAGGAAAGCATTTGATAAATGCTCCTGGGGGTTATTGTAAAGATTAAATGAGAAACATCATATGTAAAACATCTAGACTGGCTCATAGTACATGCTTAAAAAGTGTTTGTACTTATTTTTATTATTAGAGAAAGTTGGTGTTCCATGGTGGGAGAAAGACTTGGCCCCACAATACACACACACACACACAAATACCCAGTCTTGCCTATCTTCTGTTTTCACAGTGACCCACAGTTCTACTTCTGTTGGAAGACTCCCTAGGTGACATTGAGCTGTTGACATTATCTTCTATACTAAATCGTTTCCTCTGAATTTCCTGGGCATCTTAGCCAGGAAGCGTGGAGAATTACCCAGCAGGTCTTCCTCTTTGGGGGCTGGACTTAGTCCCCTGTCCATCCTGATAGGCCCAGGACATCAGCTCTCGGTCGAACTGTGTCAACCTTCTTCCTGAGATTCTCTCCCTTATTTTCCTCTCCCCACTTCCTTCTTTCTCAGGCTTCCAGAATGACTTTTTTTTTTCCTAACAGAAAGACCAGATTTTGTCTTTCCCTTGCTTAAAGTCCTTCCATGATTCCTCAATACTCAGGGAGAACCATAAACTACAGTTCTTTGTAGAACACTGAACTGTTGATATATTAAACTTGTAAACAAAACTATGATTCTGTGCTAATTCTAACATTCTCTCACACTACTAACACGTTCTAAATTCTTCAGAAAAATATATGGAGGAAAAACACCTTAAAATGACAACAAAAACTTTTCTACTCATTGTAATTAATCTACCTTCTTGCAAATTAGAAAAATATGGCTGTGGTTTTAATTCAACAGTAGGATGCCTCAGCTTGGCTTGAGGAACACCAGGGTTTCTGCAGGGGCACAGTTTGAGAACCACTGAGTGAAAGGTTCAGGCCCAATTGTCCTGGCCTTGCATTTAAGACCCTTTGTACCCCAACTTCCATACTGTCTTTATCTCCTGCTATTGGGCCATGTAGAGACTATGATGCAACCATACCTGACACCCGCCTTTCCCAGTACTTCCATGTCTTGTGCCTTTATTCAGTCTGCTCCTTCTGCCTGAAATGCTCTTCCCTGCCTTGCCTGTCTAGGAAACTCCAGGTTCAGATATCCCTTCTTTGATGTTGTTTTCCACTCCCTCAGCCTGAGTTAACCCCTGCTGCCTTTGTGTTTTCTTTGGACTGGTGTTATGACCTTTAGGACATAGTCTCTTATTTATTTATGTGCCATTTCCCCCTCCAGGCAAGAGTGGGGCCATGTTTAGCACATCTCCATGACACCAGCACCCAATATGGGGGCTGGCACAGGGTAGGTGTCATGAATATTCCATGAGTTGAAAGTGATTGAATTTCCTCATGGCCTGGCCCTGTCTGTGGTGCCATCTCCTTTTCCCTAGATTTGGGCCAGTGACTCCAGGCCAAGACTTTCTGTTTCCCTTCCTTCTTCTCTCAAGGATTATAGAAGCTTGTGGTCTTTTTCAAGTGGAGCAGAATGTTCTCTTTTCATCTGTCCATCTGTTACTTGTGTTCCTTTTCTCCCTCCATCACAGTCTCTGCCCATAGTCTTCCCCTGCACAAAGAGCAGAGGGCTGTGGAATCAGTCTGATCTAGGTCTGAGCTTTGAGCCCACCATTTACTAGCTGTGTGACCTTGGGGAAGTGCCTTATGCTTTCTGAGCCTCAGTTTCCACATCCCCCCAAATAGGACCAATGGTAAACTCCTGCCATGAGGCTCCTGCAAGGGTCCTCTGGAAACAGCAGCATCCTTGGTTGTTTCTTTTTTTCATCAGATGTTTCTCCTTGAGTTTCCTTTTCTGGATGATC